CGTAGTATCTATAAAACCATTGTCAAAATCACGAACAAAATAAAATAATTTATGGGTATCAATTTCATTAGGAATTCACAGAACGGAGGAAATATGACATGCCTTTGCTTACTGCTTGGCAACGTGAGTTGATAAGTAAACCCACACATACCATAGCACAAATCACAACAAAACGAAACTATTGAAAAAACACCATAGCATGACATTTTTACGAACAAATGACGAATGCGCGGGTTCCAATGTAGTATGTTAATCCCATGACACAATGACAAGTAATTTGTCCGTCTTTGAAAACTATAGTCCGAGTTATGACAAATTGAACAGATTGTGATTATTTATATGTAATGCGATGTCGACCTGATATGAAGAAAATACACTCTACAAAAGAACGGACATTGCCCGAAATGTCTAGTTATTTTGAACACTTAGGACAACAATTACGAAATATTTCCCACATTTCTATGTATGCTACTTAGAATGACATCATGAAAACATACTTACATAAACAAAACTGGCTTGGCTTTCGGTATTGGCAGTATACTGCGAAGGGATTAAACAATGGCCAGGCTTACTACGTATATAATATGTAACTAGTAAACTGATAACCCAGCATGCATTGGGCCAGAATGACCAACATTCAATAATTTGACCTGAAGTACGTAAATGTCTAGCCTGACAAATTTGCGTGAGTTGCGCCCTCCACGGTGCTCCAAACCCTACATAGTGGGGCCTGATTCCGTTCGGCCGGCGAGAGCGCCACTCACGCCTACATGTCAGGTTAGTAAATATCATGCTGTGGGTGGACGCACTACGCATTTTGACTACTCCATATATATTTACAACATATTCACAATAATTTTAACATTTTAGTCAAAAATAAATAGTAATAAATTTACTTTGTTTACCAGGTGTTCGTGTTCTGGTCAGAGAGTTTACCCTTCACAATCACGATCATGACAAGCCTATTATTTTGAAGAACAAATAATGGGTTCCTGTTTAAAAACGGCAGCAGAATAAATAAAATAAATGTTGGAGCACATGTATTTTGACTTTGTCATGTACAGGGCATCCAAGATGTAATTCAGACAGTGAATTGCTGAATACCAGTAACGTGCAGAATCAAATCATGCGTGTTCCCTTTCTACTGATCCTTTGGGATTTGGTCAAAAAATGGTGTCAAATGGAATTACTGCCTGTGTATATTACAAGACAAAACATATCAGTTTACACACTTATTACCACGGTAGACCAGAAAATATAGGATATTATCCACATTTGAGTTATATCCCTCAATCATCAAAGTGGGATGCAGACACCCACGGGGAGGGGCCATTCATAAATGAACAACTTCGAAAAAGTAAAAACACTCTTATATTCTAAAAATACCAGGAGGATACGCTGTGTATATGACGTGTTTGTTCATGCATGGAGCAAAAAAAAAGATTTTTAGCTCCATGATTCAGGTAAAACATCAAAGACTTTCTCTGAGAAAAAAACCTCCATGCTCCATCTTTTGGGGCGTTTTCCCGGGCATGCGAACTTCGAAAAGTATACCCCTTTCTCTGTGAATGCACATGCGCAACCTTCACTGCACTGCCAGGTGTGAACAATATTTTCAGTGAAAACCAACCACTTTTGAAACCATGTCCCCGTGGACTAACACAACTACAAAGAGTACTTGTTCAAGTCAAAACCCCTCCAAAAATTCATTTGTGAACAGTTTTACAAAAAAACAAGGCTTATATAAAATCACAGTCATACCCAGCTGCATACTCGCAGTGCAGCGGCAGGACCGGCTAAACATCAATGCAGGGGTCACGACTATTGAATACCAAGTTAGGGACACCGAAATACAATCAGGTCGAGGCGGGACGAGCGTGAAGTTTGCAGCAGATTCGGATTCTAGTAACACATCTAGGTAATCACATGAACCACAGCCCTTAACACCAGTCTGTGCATGAACACACTAGTCGTGATCTATCTATTAATCTTTCCGACTGTTTTTCGGTGTTGTTATTATTACATTTTTGGGTAAGAAATGTATCACTGAAATTTATTTCAATAGACTGTCGTGTTGTACATTTTACTTGTGCGTAGCGGAAAAATTGATTGC